TATCAGCCCAACCTACCTCACAGGCTTATTGTTATAGAGAAAAGTAGAAGGAGGAAGCATTATCTACAGTACATGAGCTCCTAGAGAAAAGGCAGGCTATCAGTCAAATAACTGGATTAATTAATAAATGCCTTCCTAGCAAGAGATTTGCAAAGGGCCATATTAACACTGTTTTCTCTGTCTTTTCTTAAGGTTATTTTTTATTCTTTTATTAACTTCGTATCTCATGTTATCCCTTAGCTTTATTTTCCCTCCATATATTTATTCTTCTTTTGTTCTCTATTATATATATAAATGCTTGAAAATGATTGTTCCATTTCACTCCCACTATACACACAAAAAAACCCAAGACATTAGGACATGGATCACTATTTGGAGAAACAAATGCTGATCTTCAAAGGCATAAGTTTAAGGTAGGGGCTTTTTTTAAGGGAGGAGTTAGAGGGCAAGAATTCGTAAGCCTCAGTTCAAGCTTTGTTAAATATTAGTTATGGCAGAGGTGGAGTTCAATCAGCATGGATGTAACTTTCCAGGGCAGAACAAGGACGAAGGGGAAGGGCTACTGCTGACAGTTGTCTGCCACAATAAACCGTTGCTTTATAACAGCTGGGTGTTACTGAACAGATTCTTTTCACCAATCTGCAGCCCATCATCACTCCTCAACCCCTACACTCCGAATAATTCAAAGACAAAAGGCAATCGGTATATCCAAAAGAGTAAGTCTGTGTTTTTATCTTTTTCACTGAATTATATAGACTGTGCACTTAACTACTGTGTTTAAAAAGAGGGGGAAAGATATGATATGTAAGTAAACTGCTGTCCTTAGAGGACCTTGATGTTGTTTCCACGGCTGAACTTTCAGAAGTCAAGAATCAAACTTTTGTCAAGTTTGAGCAGATGATGTTCATTTTGTTAACAGTAACAGCTATTAGCAATGGCAATGTCAACTCTTATGATAGCTGGAAATTATTAATTATATGATTATAAACAACTTTCCATCTTTGCTGTTACTGGTGCCTTTCACTTTTTATTTATTTATGTTATTTTATGCATCACTTCTTATTTTTCCTCTGTGTAAACTACTGTCCACTAAACTAAAGAACACCCTCTCACCTGCTATCATTATAAATTGGGATATAGGTGAATTCCTGAAATAATATCTGACATTCTGATCTCTTGGGATTGTTCCAAGCAAAGAAAATGTATAACTATATGTATAACTGGAGCAAAAGCATCCAAGATAATGCTTTATTTAATCAACCAAATTACGGAATAGTGCTTTTTAATATTATTTCCATTGTTTTAAAAAAAATCTAAAAATTGTGTGTGTTTCTGTTTTTAGTTTAGTGGCAGCATACACGATAAACTGGTTTATCATTTAATTTCCTGAGAAATTTATTTTTTCTATAGGTAGAAATGGTTTCTGAAAAGGAAGGAAAGAAACATATTAATGGAAATGTGAATGAGGAGAATATTGTTATTGAAGATGCTTCTGGAAGCCAAAAGTAGGTTTTTTGGTTTTAGTTGGTTGCTTTTTTGCATTTTCGGTTGATGCATTTATCTGATTTATCCTGCGCAATTCTTTCTCTATAGAGGCCAAACATCCATTCGAAATATACCACTTTTCAGAGCTAACTTCTATATTCAACAAATTTGTAATCACACCATGGATTATAAGCTAAATACCAATATTTTATTTATTATCATTAAATTTGTTTGTTGCCCATATGAGGCGACTCTATATTCCCTATATACTCTAATATTTAGTGTTGTAATTTTCTTAGTATACCTTGTTATTCATCTGCGGTAAAAGGACATTGGGGTCCTCTGTGGCTTTCCTGAGCTTTCATTTGAGTTCAGTGACTTTGTTTATTTTTTCTCTATTTCAATCTTGCTGTGTTTATTTTTTTCCTTTACATTTTTCAAAAGTTTTGTTGAAAATTGCCTGCCTATAGATTTTCAACAAGAGAATTATTTTTCTCAAAAATGAAATATCATTAAAGGAAACCCTGTGTTACTTATGTTCTGCATCATCATTGCCTTCTGACAAATTGTTGAAAGTGTACAAATATAGCTGGCTATTTATATTACGTTCATGCTTGTTTTTGGTACTTGAGGACATTCAGAGGGACAAACATATCCGACTGTACTTCGGTCCCTCTTTCCTATTGACCCTATTTGTAGATAGGCATAGATTCAGCAGCTGTTGTTTTTCCTCTCATATCCCTCTGGGCTAGGACAAAATACTCCTGAGTTGCATGTACAGTTTAACTTCCTGGAAATAAGAACCTTGGTTGTAATAAGTTGTCCGCTTCTGTTATAAGTACACACTCCAGGATCCCTACATTGTTGTATTCACATATTGGTTGATAAACTGTAGTTCATTTAAATCCTAGCAGGCTCAGAAAGTCAAAATGGCTTAGTAGACATATAATGCTAGGCAATTAGATTATAAACCACAGTGGCTGTATTCACTCAGCACAAAACCAAGCAAAACATGGTACGGCAGAGTGGGTGAATTCAGTTACCAAAATCATAGGAAAAAGTAAATGCTCTACTCCTGCTTACAGTGTTTATGGATCAGTTTAAGATTTAGGGAATTATAATTATTTGAGAACTCATTAATTTCAATGGGTTCTAACCAGTGCTTTTTTTCTAAAAAAAAAAAAAAAAGGTGCCGGAACTCACACACGTCATACAATCCGCCTTGCCTACCCTACAAGGTTCCATCCAAAAAAGGTGCCGGAACTCCATTCTGGGCGGTCTATGAGAAAAAAGCCCTGGTTCTAACTACTTAGATGCTTATGGTTTTATTCCCCCCAAAATGAGAAAACCAATTAAATTGAAAAGGATCAGGTTTCAGCATTCTCATGTATCAATATTGAATGAAATCTGAATACCGTATTTATCGGCGTATAACGCGCACAGGCGTATAACACGCACCTTCATTTTAAGAGGGAAATTTCAAGAAAAAAAAAGCGCCGGCTCGAGAGCGAAAGCAAAAGGGGAGGGGGAGTGGGGCTTCGTTCACACGTGGATCCCCATGCTCGTATTTATTTACCGTATTATGCCCTGGCTGGCGGCGGCGGCAGCA